AGGGAGGGAGGGAGGGAGGGAGGACCAGCCACCAGCCCAGGTCTCCTTACCCTTTCCGAATGGCGATGATGATGGCTCCCAGCAGGATAATCAGGATGATGAGCCCTCCAGCACAGATTCCCAGGATCAGACCCATCTCCTCCGAGTGCTGGGACACCTCCAGGGGACGCTTGCTCTCTTTGCAGGCAGCTGCCAGGGGACAGGGCCAGGCAGAGGGGTGGGTGGACACGGGTGCTGTGAGCGCACACCACACTCCACTCCAAGGGGATTGGCAACATCAGGCATGAAAACACTGGGATTTGTCCCATGGGATGCTCATTTCTCCATGAACACAAGTTATGCAGCCAAGACACTACAGGGCTCTGCAGCGCCACACTATGACTGTGGACAAGTCCCTCTCTCAGTTCCAGTGAGGTGGGACAGTCCCTTTGTGCATCTTTCATCACACACACCACCACCACATCCATCATCCACCCCTGGATCAGCATCCAGCATCACCATTCCAGCCCCACCCCACTAACAGCATCAGGAAGGAAAATTCAACGAAGGGAAAAAAACCCCAGATGCTAAAGAGAGTGGGAAACAAAGGAGTGTGGGGTGGAGCAGGGATAACCCATCACATGCAGCCCAACCACCACCAGTGCTGGTCCAAACCCACTGGCAGAGCCCCGACCGCCGGAGCCGCGGCCTCGCTGGGGTCAGGGGAAGGGAGAGCTCACCTTTGCGAGCGATCCGGACACAGTTCAGCCGAGTTTCCTGTGGAGGTAAAAAGGGGGGTCAGTGCTGGATGAGCATCCCAGCGGCTCCGCTCCCCACTCTCACCCAAGCGAGGCTGGGTGGGCACAGGCTGGTCCATTGGTGCTTTGGCCCCCAAATTGAGGGAGTCCATGGGTGATTTGTGCTGTGGCACCCAAAGAGCTCCTGGGGACCCACATCCCAAGAGATGCTGCTGAATGATCTGTCCCCAACACTCCCAGGTTTAGCCGGAGCCACTGCTCCTGGCACAGAGGGGATGGTGAAGCTCAAGAGCATGGAGAACCCAGCAGACACAGCCAGTCCACATGTCACCAATGTGCCACCAGCTACAGCTGAAACACTCCCAGGATGTCATCCAGAGCTTCATGGGTTTGTCTTTCCACTTAAGTTTCAAGCCCCAGTCCTGGTGCTCTGCATGTGCTGCCAAGGTTGCCACAAGGTTCCAGCTTAAGTCTCCAATAGTTTTAACATTTGCAATTTAGGGATGGGTACAGATAAAATATTCCATTTTTCCATGCATCCAACTTCTGTTGCAAAATAAAAAGCACCACTTTGGCAGTATTGTCTTCTCCAAGCATCCTCCAGTCTCTCAAGACACCAGGCACCAATGCGCTCCATCCACCCTTGGCCCAAGACCTGCCCATGCCACATGCCCAGGGCAGGGCCAACTACAGCACTGCTCTCCCTGGGATCTCCAGCTTTTCCTTTCTCCTGCTTCTTGCTTCATCTGGCACAAAACCCATGAAAAACCCCAGCTACGATCCAGCGTTTTTTCAACATCTGATGGCAGCTGGGATAAATCCATTACCTCCCAGCAGGACAGACGTAACACAGCATCAGCCACCAGTTATTAACCAGTGGTGCCAAGCAAGCCAGAGCCAGGACCCTCCCTGTCCCTCTCGGCTCTAATTACAACAAAAAAATGAGGAGTGAACAACCCCGGAGCAAAGAAAAGGACTCAGTAACCACTATGCAGCAGGACAGAAATGTGCAGGATGAGGATGCTCCTGCAGGTTGGACAGGAGCTGCTGGAGCAGGTGATGCCAAGAAGGGTCCCAACAGCATCCAGGTGGTCCTGTGGGTGACTTGGAGGAATCAGCCTGGTGGGTGCAGGGGGTGCAGCTCCGCAGAGGGAACTGGCAGCAGCAGGGAGGGAAGGGCAGCCCGGGAGGTCCCAGGAGTTCTCTGGAGCTGGGACTGGCCGTCCTGCCAGCACTGGGTCCCAGCAATGACACACAGCTCTGGCTGCCCAAACAGTCCTTCTCCAACCCAGGAACAGCCCCAGGAATAGGGGCTGCCCTGCACTGGTGCTTGTTGGTGTCCTGGCTGGTACTGCAGTGGGTGGGGGAAATTAGGCTACTCCACCCCCCTGCATCGGCACGGAGATGGGGACAGGCACCAACCCAGGGATGCTGGAGCAGGACACCCACCCATCATCTCAACATGCCATAAGGGTGGCCTGGAGCACCAACTGCCCCCTAGCAGGACATCAGGGCTGAACCCAGAGGGTGACCCAGGGTAGGGCAATCTAAAAGTTGTCCCATTTTTACCAACCCCCAGACCCCAGCCTGCCCTTACCAGGTGCCAGGGCTACTCACCCCTTTGAGGTTGCTCATGGCCTGGAAGTAGATGAGATAGGCCTTCTTGGGCTCCAGAGGCGGGTTCCAGTAGCCGCTGTAGGTCTGGTTGTCCCCCACGGTGAAGGGCTTGGCCTCGGTGAGGCTGCTGGCAGGCAGCTCTGCCCCAAAGTAGTGCACGGAGCCGCGGGACATGGCATCATCGAAGGTGAGCGGCACCGGGAAGCACTCCTGCCCCCCCAGCTCCCGCTTCAGCTTCTTGGGCCGGTCCTCCTCCACAATCACCTGATAGGTGCTGGTGAGGGCCAGGCACAGGTTAGTTTTGGGAAGAAGGGTCCTGCCCTTCCTTGGACCCTGCTGTGTCACCCCATTTTGGGGTCTCGCCCTGACATACCTGATGGGAGCCCCTCTGCCCTGTGCTGGCCGCAGTAGCACCGTGATGGTGCTCTCTGACTCGCTCAGTGGCGATGGCATGTCCCCGTAGTCGAAGGCGGGAGCTGCAACAGGAGCTGGGGTGAGTCCTGGGGCTCCCCCGGCTTAGGGGGAAACTGAGGCACGAGCAGCTTTGCCCAGGGCAAGGCATCACCCAGTGGTGTCATATGAATTATTTCAAATGAAATAAAAAGCCTCTCCATGTCTTGTTCAAGAGTTGAGAGACAACCCGTGGGTGTGCACAAGGGAGGTTACCAACACCAGTATGGCACAAGAGAAAAAACCAAGAGTGGGATCCAACCTCAGCAGGACCCAAATGCTCCAGTCTTGAGATGTGCCCAAGAACAGCACCACTCAGAATCACTGGCACAGTGTGAGCTTCCCCCACCCCAGAGCAGAAGCACACCTGAGCCAGCCCAGCAGCACCCCCCAAACCAAGGTGGGGGACCCCCCTCATGCCTGGCATAGTCTTGTGGTCCCCAAACCATCACTGGCAGCCACTGGGGTCCAGCTTGAGCTGCTTTGTCCCAGTGCACCCATTCACACTCAGTTTGGCCCATTTGCTGCAGTTAATGCAACACCATGGACAGGAGCAAAGAGCTCCGAGTACTGCACAGCTTATTAACAAAGCCCAATTAATCCCTTGCTCGTACACTGAGAGCTCAGACAACACTGGGCCAGCCAGGCCCCCCAGACAGGGACCCACCAGTCTGGGACTGCCTGGGGGCTCACAGCACAGCTGCCACCACCAAGAGCATCTTTCTATGGCAGTATCCAGCCACCAAAACACTGCCAGTCACCAAAACCACAGGACTGAGCCAGCGGCTCCACACCACCATAGGACACCTGAGTGGAGGAGAAGCCCCAGGAGCAGGAAGGGAGTGGGGGAACCTACCGGAGATGTTGGTGGTGATCTCGGTGAGCGCCGTCTGGCCAAAGCCCTTGCCGGTGCGGGCCCGCACGGAGAACAGGTAGGTGGTGCCGGGGTGCAGGTTGGAGAACACGTGGTAGGTCTCATTGCGCAGCTTGGACACCGTGCGCCGCGGGCCCGGGACATTCACTGCAGGGTCTGAGGACTCGATGCTCTGGTAGCTGATCTGCAGAGACAGGGCACAGCATCGCCCGTGGCCGTGGGAGAGGAGACAGGGCCCAGATTCAGGTGGAGAAGGGATTATTAAAACAACTAATTCAGAGGAGGGGGTGATCACGGGGCAGCCTGGAGGCAGCCAGGGACTTTTTGAGATGAAACAAAAGCAGAGGTTCACTGGAAAAGCCAAAGGGCTCAGGAGTAGCAGCAGCTACCTCTAATCCTCATGGCCAACAGCAGAGGTTGTCCCAGACTCCTCCAACACACCCCTCAACAGGACCCTCCCATGTCCCCAGTACCCCAGGTGCCACACCAGCCAGGATGTACCTCGTACTGCGTGATGAGGCCATTGGGCTCCACCGGTTCCTCCCACTTCAGGAATATCATGTCCTCCAGTGGGGTGAAGGTGAGGGACTCGGAGGCAATGCCGCCAGGCACTGGGGAAGGAAAGGAGATGTACTTGTATGCAGCTGGAAACCAGTCTGTAAGGAGAAATCCTCCAGGATACCCCTCTAGGTGGCTGTGGCAGTTGTGCCCTGTGACCAAGCCACCACACTCCCTTTGCCGTGTCACCCACCTCCACCCAGTGCCACCAGACAGGATTGGTGGCTCCTCAGGAGACACCCAAGGCATTGATGCTCCTGGACCCACTGGTGACATTTTGCCATGGGAGGGGGAGGTCCCCACACCAGTACAAACCCCACAAGTACCAGCGGCAGCACAGGTTGCCCAAGCTTTCCAGCATGAGGAAAAGAATAAAGTCCCTTTTCCCCCACAACCCAAATTCCCCCCAGAGCCATTAGCATCCTGTGGAGACACTGCCAGCAAGCAGCAACATCCTCACATGCAGACGGGCTCCGGGCTCGACGTGGCCCGGCCTCCCCTCTAATTAACATCACCACAATAATAACTGTAATCACCGACGGCAATCAGCGGAGCCAGGATCAATATCCGCTCCTTTATGATGGATTTCTCCACCCGAGGCGGTCAGCGAGGAAAGGCAATGGCTCGGGAAGGCACCGGCAGCATCCCCCACTCCCAAACCTTGCAGGGGACAGCAGCTCTTCTCTCTGATTGGCTTTTCTCACAGCTTTTGTTCGGGTGTAATTACGGGACTGGGAGAGAGGGATCACCTCCCGCGCTTCCCACCGTGCAAACGAGCCGTTTCCACCTGATTTACAAGTTAATTTAATCAGAGGCACTGTGTCCTACACGTGTACACAGGCGCTTATTAAATTCAGGAAGAATTACGGAAACCTGTAGGGCAGTAAAGTGTGTACCTACAGAGACTGGGTTTTAATATACAGAACCTACACTATATATAATTATACGTTATTTTCTATTATTATATATAGCCTGCATGATATAGACAATGACATCTTATTTTCTATTATTATATGTTGTATCATTGCTATTGTCTATAGGATAATTTATATATTATGTTAATATTATAATACCTACATATTCACATATATATATATACACACACATACATAGATATTCAAGTACAGGTATCGTGCTTCCATCCCAGGTTGAGAGAGGCAAAGGATGCACACAACAGCTCCCAGGTGTGCACCTACCCTTCTGCTATCCGTATTTGCACACATATATTTATTTATGGAATTATATATATTTATCCTGAGTTGCATTGCATGCTCGTGCCTGCTCCCAGGAGAAGTGGCTCCCTGCAGCACCATCACACTGGTATTCCCACAGGTCCATGGGATTGAGTTTCATCATTCCATGCACACACAGAATGAAGTCTCCAGCTGTGGGTCACCTGGATCCATGGGGGGCACTGAAACACCAGCTGGACAACCTATGGATGCAGCACACTTCCACACGCCCAGCACAGCTCTGCCTGGGGTCCAAGAAGGATGCTGTAAACAACAGCCTTGGTTTGGCCCAGTTACTTGGATTTTCCAGCCCCAAACCAGGGTTTACCACTCAGGATGGGGAGGTGCATCTTCGCAGCCCACCAACAGCAGCCCCAGGGGATGCTGCTGCCAAAACTGGCCTTGTGCCAGAATAAACCACAATTAAGGGTCCTATCATTAACGAGCTTTCGGCACCTTGGTTTACTTGCAGGGGCAGCTGTTCATCCCGCAGTTCTAGGATGAAATCATCATCCTCCCAGGCAGGCTGGGCTAGACACGTGAGGAGTATCTGCCATATATCCGTAGGAGGATTCCATAGATCTATCACCACAAGACTGAATGTATACACAGCCTCAAGTTCAATCCAAGGGGGAAGCCAGCAGCCCCAGTTAATTGAGGCACAGGAAAAAGCAGCTGGAGTGATTATAGTATAGCAAAAAGACATCTGGAGCTCCTGTATTAATATTCCATAAGCAAACAGCTGGAGCAGTCACAGCCCAGTGAGAACAACTGGAGCAATTATAGCTGGAAAATAAACCACTGGCAGGGCGGAGCTGGGTGCCCCCGCTGGGGCAAGCTGAGGGTTGAGGATGTGGAAAGTGTTGGTGTACAGAGGAAGGTGCTGGATTTAGGCTTTGAAGATGAAAAAAGAGTTGCTTTCAGCGCCTCTCCAGCTCTTCAGATTTTGCCTTCCAGCCTGGGAGACGGGAGTGAGCTTTGCACACGTAATGGCAAGTGCTGTGCAGGGGAATTCCATGGCAGGCTTTTCCTCAGGGGTTCTCCGGGGCTCTGGAGGCAGCTCAATCCCTTGCAATTACCAGTTCAGTCCCTTTAATTGCTGATTTTTTATGCTTAAAAAGTGCTTTGGAGATTAATTCCGTTCTTGCTTAACAGATGACTCCGTGAGAGGCAGGGATGCTCCAGCCACACTCAGCAGTGGGAGAGGCCAGCCCCTGATGTGGCCTGTCACTGATGGGCAGCACTGGACACATGGAGCCAGCTCTGTCCTGCACCTCCTGCCATATCCCCTGGATCTCCAAAGCCCAGAGTGACTCAGGCACTGCTGATGGCAAGCTGCAGTCAGGGTGAGGGGCAGGTAAAGCCAGACCTGGTAAAGGAAACCAACTTCTCCAGCAGCCTCAGCTTGAGCAGATCCTCAGGGAAGGGCTCACCAGAGCAAGAGATTCCAAAACCAGGAAGTCCTGGAGCAATGCTGGAGCGTCCATCAAGGATGTCCTCCCACTCAGGTGACAGGGAACCCAGAACAGGGCACAGCCAGAACAGGTGGAAAACAGGAGCAAAGCTGCTGCCAGAAACTGGGGCCTTATCACTGCAGAGGTCTCTGCACAAACCCAACCCCACCCGAGAGCAAACTTCACCAGGGAAGAGCATCAGGGAAGCCAAAAAAAGCTGCACCTGCCCTGGTGAACAGCACTTTCCCAGAAATGCAGCAGTGCCCAATCCATCAGAAACCGAGCAGATAAAAGATGTTACCTAAGTGTAAAGTATTAATTGTTTTAATTGCTGTTATTATAGCTGCCAGGCTTTGGTTCCCAATAACAAGTGAGTGAGGATGACCTGTGCTTGAGAAGCTGCTATGAGCCAACACCCACACCCTCCATTGGGCCAGTCAGGGGTAAAATTCCACTCCAAGGATGAGGGCAGTGTGTCCACAGTGACATCCCCATCCAACCCCTGAGCTCCCCAGGCATCTCCCTTCCCCAAACACCATCACTGCCCCTTTCTTTCACCTCCTGTTGTACACCTCTGGGGCTGTGAGATCCTTTTCACCTCCCCCTTGGATCAGGAGATATTCCCATCATGCCCATGGGCCAGGAGCCAGGGATGCACACCATGCCACAGGAGAAACCCCAGCAGCTCACCAGCTACAGAGTTCCAATTTCGTGGATGATGGACCTCCTTGAGCAGACTCACCATCCTCATCTGTCTGGAATATCACCTCCTTGCCCTCCTTGCGGCCCTCGGGGTTGGAGAGGATGAGCTTGACGTGGATGTTCTTGTAGGGCAGCAGATTTTTGATGGTGTAGCGGTTGGCGTTCCGCTCCATCTTCACACACTCCTGGAAGGTCTGGTTGTGGCCACTGCCCACGAAGTAGCGGTAGCACAGGGACATGGTGTAGGTGTGGCAGCGAGTCAGGTTGTAGCCCAGCGGCTCCCACTGCAACGTCAGCTGTCTGGACTGGATTTCGGAGAAAGCCAGGCCTCTGGGGGCTCGCATGGGCTCTGTGGGGAAGAGAGACGGGGAGAAGTGAGTGAGGTGGCAAACATCTCATGGATTTATGTGTCTTATCAGGGAAAACACTTTTATCCATAGGGACAAAAGGGACGAGTGCAGAGAGCAACCCTGACTGCAAAACTGGGACCAGCCCCAGCACAGAATGCTGCTGCCCTGCAGATAGGGCTGGGGACACCACTGGGGACATCTCTCAGTCACCAACTCTGCAGGGACAGCAGCTGCCCCACGCGCTCATCCTTCCCTGTAGAGGTGAAGCAGGGTGCCAGCCCAACAAGCAGCCCTAGCTACGCAGAGAAAGGTGCCTGCCCCATGAGAGCCCTTGTGGTGTCATCACACCCAAGTCAGGCTCTCGAGACAAGAGGGACCAAGTGCCATCAGTGGGAGGGAGTTTAATTAGCTCTAACTGGAGTGAATGGGAGAAGTTAACGAGGGGGCACCTCTGCCAACAGCACACACACACAGACACACGGGTGCCTTGGGTTAGCTCCTCTCCTCACCACAGGAAGGGGCAGGGCTCGGGGTGCCAGGAGAGCTGTCCGAGGGACGCCATGGGGCCCACCTGCGCACTTGGTGCGGCTGATGAGGGGCGGCCCCGGTTTGCCGGTGCCCCCCTCACCGGGCCGGGTGAGCAGGACACTGATCTCGTACTCCGTGTCAGGGTCCAGGTGCCAGAGCTTGTAGGTCTGCATGTTGACAGCGTGGACCTCGGACCAGGGCCCCGAGGTCATGCGGTACTCGATCTCCTTGCGCACGATGGGGCCGTCGCCGATGATGGAGTTGGTGTTGAGCTGGATGATGAGGTAGGTGGAGCCGGCCCGCAGCAGCTGGGGGGGGGCGATGGGCGTGGGGGGCTCTGGAAGAGAGCACAGAAGGGGCAGGTGGAGCATCCCCAGAGCCAGCACAACCACAGGTTTATTTTATGGTTTACAGCCTGCAGTCAGACACATTTCCAGTGTCTCTTCCCACACAAACCCACCACACTTAGGCTGGAGAAGGGAACCTTTAGGCTGACCTAACTATGGCCTTCCAGCATCTGAAAGGGGCTACAAAAGAGATGCAGAGGGACTTTTTACAAGAGCATGTAGTGACAGTACAAGGGAAAATGGCCTCACACTGACAGCGAGTAGGTTTAGATTAGATATTAGGAAAAGATTCTTCCCTGTGAGGGTGGGGAGGCCCTGGCACAGGCTGCCCAGAGAAGCTGTGGCTGCCCCATCCCTGGAAGTGTCCTAGGCCAGGCTCTGTGCAACCTGGTTGAATGGAAGGTGTCCCTGCCCATGGCAGGGGGTGGCGCTGGATGAGCTTTAAGGTCCCTTCCAACCCAAACCATTCTGGCATTTGTGCTGCAGAGCACAGAAACTCAGATTCCCCACCCAGAGGACGTGGGAGTCACCCAAGTACAGGACAACAACATCCAGTCTTCAAAGTTCAGTCTGTGCCTGTGCCCTCCATCACTTTCAGAAGGCTTTAACAGCTGCAATAGGGTTTCATCTGATCAAACCTTAATTGTCTTTATAAGTCACACAGCCCAGCATGGTGCCTCACAGTTTCACCATAATTAATTAATTCCCACCTACCGCAATCAGAAATAAATGATCTAAGGCCACCAGGAAAGGGAGTTTCTGGTTTTCTGCTGCACAGTCCATGTTTAGCAACTCTTCCACAGCGGGACACTGCAATCCCCGTGTTCCAGGCATCCCACCTTCCTCTGCACACAGCAGAGCAGGAGTGGCCCACCATGGCCCAGAAGTGGGCGAGGGCAGCTCACCCACCTTTGACGATGAGCTCGGCGAAGTTGGAGACGCCGGCGCCGCGGGGGGACTGGGTGACACAGCGGTACAGGTCCTGCTCCACCTTGGACACCGCGTCCAGCTGGAACGTGGCCAGGAAGCGCCGGTGGCTGATGTGCTTCACCGAGGCAGCAGGGACCACCTCACCATTCTGCCTCTGCCCACAGGACACACACAGAGTCACAGGGGGCATGGTGGCACCTCCAGAGCCACCAGGGGTGTCCCCACGTGATGTCTGCTTAAAAGCAGGGGGATCGCCCTTGTCCTGCCATGTCCAGCGGGGTTTTCCCCACAGGACAGCCATGTGTGGGGCTGCCTGCGGCCGATTCACCACAAGCATTCCTCACCTGCATGAGGAAACGCTCAGCCTCGGCAGCCTTGCCAGCGGCCACGCACTGGAAGGTGGCATTTTGTCCCGCATTCACCTCCACATCACCCAGGCGGGAGAAATGAGGCGCTTTCGCTGCCGAGGGACAAAGCAAGGGGTGAGGAAGGACCTGAGGTCCAAGGAGACACACAGCAGCACTGCCACAAAAATCTCTCCCCACCCAAAAACCCACCCAGGATGTCACAGCTGAGCCGAGCTTTGGACAGGCCTGATGCCCACCCTCAGAGCCTGGCTCCGAGTGAGGAATGTGTTCCAGCCCCCACAGAACCAGCCAGTGTCCCAGGGAGGGATAAGCCTTTCTCTTCAGCACCACACAGTGCTGGTGCCAGATGCAGGGTATGGGATTGATAGAGGGGGCAGGTCTTCTGCCCAGCCTGCAAGAAATAGGAGGTGACCCCAAGAGCCATTGTGTTGGGACAGTCTGGGATTTTGGACCCCCCACCAGCCTGGGTGGCCCCTCTTGATGGGGACACTCATGTCTCGTGTTCAATCTGTGCTTTTCTAAGGTTTTATAAAAACTAAAAGCAACATTGCAGCTTTTTTAGTGGGGATAGGGACGGAGATGCAAAAAGGAGCCTCAGAGGTGCCCAGGAGATGGAGCTCCACCAGCGCAGGTAACATCAGGACACCCAAGTGCCACCAGGCTGCACCCTGACATTAGGCCCTCTGCTCTCCCCAAAACCATCCCAATGGACACCAGTTCCAAGCCCTGCTGCCCAGCCCAGCCCAGCAGCAACCCCCCCTCAGATCCCATCCCATGGCACTCACAGCATGGATAATTCAGGAGCAAAATGTCATCCAGGCCCAGGTACCCCCTGCGCTCGCTGGAAACCACCGCCTCGAAGAGCACCTGCGGCACCAAACAGGGGTCACCCGTGGCCAGGGGTCCAGGCTGGGGCCAGGGGGGCTGCCGGGCCTCACCTGGTACTCGCTGGGCCAGAACAGGCTGACTGCCAGCTCTGCCTGGTGCCACTGGCGGCCGTGCGAGCCGGACGCGTTCCAGACGGCGCTGCCCACCAGGCCCCCCGTGACCCAGACGTAGGCGCTGAGGGTGCCGGGGCTGTGGCCATCCCGGCTGAACATGAAGTAGCTGAACTGGAGGCAGTGGGTGTCATTCTCACTCAGTGCCTGGAAGAGCAGGTGAGCTTTCTGGCCCGGGCTGTGCTGAGAGGAGTTCACCATCAGGTAGGAGCCTGCGGCAGCGGGGAGAAGGGGGAGAGAGTGGAGTTAATTATGAGGATGGTGAAGGGTCTGGAGGGGCCATACAGGGGGTGGCTGAGGGCACTTGGTGTGTTCAGCTGGAGCAGAGGACACTGAGGACAGAGCTCAGGGATCTGCAGCTCCTCCCGAGGGGCAGCTCCCATCTCTGCTCTGGGCCAGGGACAGCAGCCAGGACACGGCTGGAGCTGGGCCAGGGCAGCTCACGCTGGAGATCAGAGCAAGGCTCTTCCCCCAGAGGCTGCTGGCACTGCCCAGGCTCCCCAGGGAATGGGCACGGCCCCGAGGCTGCCAGAGCTGCAGGGATGCCCAGGGTGGGGTTGGTGGGGAGTCTGGGGTTGGACTGGATGCTCCCTGTGACCCCCTCCCAACTAAGGAGATACCATTATTCTAATCTTCCTTTACCACCTCTCCTGAGCTTTGCCAGCAGGGACAGAGAAGGTGGAAGATATGGAACCACAAAGATGCCCATGTGCCCCAGGGTACCGGTCCATGACAGCCCATGAGGATGTGCAGGACAGGAGGGACTTGGGATGGAGTCAGCAGCAGATGCCTTCTGGACAGCAGCAGGAAACTGCAATGGGACCTGGCTGCTGGATGAGGAGGGGAGGATCAGAGCTGCTGCCTCCCCAGGGTCAGGAAAGGCTCCGATGTTGCTCTTCTTTAACTCTCACAGCTTTGGCTGTATCAGTCCCCCTCCCCAGGCAGGCCCAGATGTTTACCTCCATTCCCAGCTCCTCATATCCTTTACCACACAGTTGTCACCACATTTAAACTGTGCTCAGCAGGCACTTGCAGAGGGAAATCCTCCTGGCTTAAGCAGCCAGCATGCCAGCTCTCAGGGGTGCCTGGGATGTCATTCCCAGAGGTGCCCCACCACCAGCAGCTGCTGGGATCCCACCTCCCACCAGCCAACATCACCAGCAGCAAAACCAGGAGTCCCAGCACAGCCTTGAAGCCTTCCTTATAAAGCACCCAGGATGACAATCCCAAATAGGATCCCAAAGGCAGCACCATTCCCTGTCCTGCACGCTCCAAGCCAGGCAGTCTGAAGGCAGGAGGGGGATGCAGGAGTCCCAGCCCTTCGTGACAGCTCCCAGAGCTGTACACCACAGCCATGGGGCTGGCACACAGGATGGATGGGAAGCTTCCCCACCAAATCCTCCCCCTCACCAAAGGCAAGGGGATTATTCATCTCCATTTTAATACCAGCAGAAGCTGTAAGTAACAGAGCTGGGCCATTTATTCAAGCCTACCATTGTTTTCCTGACAGTCAGTGCTTCGTTATCAATTAATTCTAAGCTCAGGCGCTTTCCTCCCCTCGACTCCCACAGAGCAGCTCCAAGAAAAGCCAAAGGAAGGTGAAGGGGAATTGTGGGGAGCACCCATCTATGTCCATGCAGCATTTGGGATCACAGGGGAGACTCATCTACTACCCCAGAGTTTGGGACCTGCACCTGGGGGGACCCCAAAACACCCAGGGTGTCACAGCACCAGTGACACAGTGCCAGTACCAGATGCATCTCCTTCAGGGATGGGAACTGGGGCAAGGGAAAGAAATCCCTAAAAGGGAAATTTTCCCCACACCACTGACCTGCGTGGCTGGCTGGCCCTGCCAGCCCCTTGGGGTGGCTACTCAGGGTGAAATAAAGCAATGACAATTTATTTCCTCCGAGTCCAGCACAGCTCGTTTCACCCACCAAGGGGAAGGCACTATGTCCATGCTTCTCTTTTTTCTCTTCTCATTTCCCCCAGCAAAATTACTTCTGCTCTAATGAGATCAGCCCCATTTGGTCCAGGCAACAGCAGAGTGGAGAGAGACCATTGACCCACCCCATGCCAGGGGACATCTCCCAAAAGCCACCTCATTAATGAATGGGCTCTCGTTAACAAATAGGCCCTTCCTCTGCCCTCTACAAACAAAAAGCCATAGAACCAAAATAAAGAGGCCAAGACTAAAATTAAACCACTGATGAGTTATTTTAAAAGACAGAGAATGCCCATAAGGTCACCTGGGAGCAGGGATGCACCTGAGCATCCTTCATCAGGCAGGGCTTCCCACACACGCTATTTTCCCCTCTTAATTTTCTTCCTGGTGTTGCAGCATTGGAAAAAGCAGGTTCCAACCACTCGCTTTTGTGCTAATTTTATCCTCCTCTGCTGTAAATATCTGGCATTAACCTGAAGCCCAGGGTGTGGGTTGGGTTTCTTTTATAAACATAAGAGAAGCAAAGGTACTTCAAACTGCCAGAGGGCAGGGTTGGATGGGGTATTGGGAAGGGATTGCTCCCTGTGAGGGTGGGGAGGGGCTGGCACAGGGTGCCCAGAGCTGCCATGGCTGTCCCTGGATCCCTGGGAGTGCCCAAGACTCGTTGAAGCCCTGCTTGCCCATAGGGAAGGGGCAGCTCTTCCCATCATGCTGCCCATCCCAAGGGTTCTGCCTGCCACTGCACCCCTCCAGGAAAAACCCAAACAGCCCTGCAAGAAGAGGAGGGAAGAACCCACTCCCCCCACTTCCCTGTCTCGATGAGTTTTTCCTCCTACAAAATCACTGAGAGATAAAAATAAATAAAAAATAACTTCCAAGAGCTATTAGAAGGCAGGGAAGGCAAGCAGGATGACAGGGAGAGGGCGGCACTGCCAGACAAGAGGTGCCAGGGGAGCAGGTCTGAGCACGGCAGCATCTGTCTCCAGGAAATCCCACTGCAAGACAAAGCTGACGTGTGCCGGATCCTTCTCCATGTCACAGCCAGCACAGGAACCAGGGAACCACTCCCCACTCTGTGCTGGACATCTCCCAAAGCAGCCCCAGCACCAAGGGCTGATCTCCCACCACCACACGGTCCATGGACAAACTGCAGCAATTCCCATGGGAGCAAACAATCAGGGCTTCATTGTTCAAGGGTTTTATGGATTGCAGCAGGAGCTGGTTGGGAAGTGGTGCTGGAGCTGAGAGCTGAAGGAGCAGCTCCTTGGATGGGATGGGGAGGCATCAGAGTGCTTCAGGGTGGGGACAACAGCTCAGTCCCCCCCAGCACAGGGACAGGGTTTGCAGGGACACAGCAGCTCCATGCACTGAGAAGCTCCAATGCACAGGGGGTTTTCTAATGTCAGTGAATTTGGAAGGAAAATCTAGGAAAAAGCACATTTGAGGAAAAAAACACCCACAAATATGTTGTTTTAATATTTTGAGTGAGGGACCTTAGAGCCCCTTTCAGTGCCAAAAGGGGCTCCAGGAGAGCTGCAGAGGGACTGGGGACAAGGATGGAGGGACAGGACACAGGGAATGGCTCCCACTGCCAGAGGGCAGGGCTGGATGGGATATTGGGAATTAGGAACTGTTCCCTGGCAGGGTGGGGAGGGGCTGGGCTGGAACTGCCAGAGCAGCTGTGGCTGCCTGTGGATCCCTGGCAGTGCCCAAGGCCAGGCTGAACAGGGCTTGGAGCAGCCTGGGACAGTGGAAAGTGTCCCTGCCATGGCAGGGGTGGGATGGGTTGAGCTTTAAGGTCCCTTCCATCCCAAACCAGTGTGGAATTACAAGCTCACATCTGCCTTACCCTGCAGCTGCTCCTTCAAAAAAGGAGCAATAAAGAGACAAAAACCCCAAAACATTACAACTGCAACATGGGAGAGACCCATCCATCACCTTTAGGTGAAAGAGAGACAAGTCAAGAGAAGGGGGGGAGGGGGGGAACCCTAAACTAAACAAGAAAGCAAGAAGAGAGTCAGATGGAAAGGTAGCAGCAGGTGGCCAGCAGCCAGCACCCACTCCAATAAATCCTACACTCCTTGAAACTGGCTGATCTCCAATAAAAACTCATTTTAATCTGAGACCACGAGACTCCTTTGGAAAGTGCTCCCTGGAGAGGCCCTGGCACTGTGAAATCCGTTTGATCCCCTGAGCTGCTGCAAGGACCGAGGGGGTGATGGGGCTGCAGAAGCCTCAGGTCCCCACCCAAAATGGGGTAAAACCACCCAAATACGGGGTGCCTGCACCCCCCCGGTGCTCCATGATAATGAGCAAACAGCATTACCTGGTGCTAGGGGAGCTGCAGGGACAAGTGTCCGCTTCCCTGGGTGACACTGCAATACTCACACCACCCAACGTGAGATGTCACACCCATCTCCCCATCAATCCTGGAGTTTATTCCCTAAACTCTGTTCCTTTAAGATCCCATCCCCTGCTGAGCCACAGTTTTTTCCTCAAGTAGGGAGAGAAGCCCCATTCCATCCGACCCTCCAGCCCCCTGCAAGCCCCCAGGCTTTAAACTCAGGTAGTTCACTGCAGATTTTAAATTACAGCTGAATGTTGAGCAGAAAACTCAACTAATTACCAGTTTCAGACACTCCATCACAAGCCACCTCAACCCCCAGCTCTGCTTTCCCCAAGAAACCCCCTGGACACACACCAATTAGGATAGCTCAGTTTAAAGCAATTACTTGGAAAAATCATCAAGGGAGGAGCAGGGATCTGCCAGCAGATCCCTGCCACCCAGCACCCAGGACATGCTAGGAGGGACAGGATGGAAGGAAAAGGTGATGGGGAAAGGCAATGGCAGAGCAGAGCTAGTGGAGGGGAAAAGCCAAATTAACTCCTGGCATGAACAAGGCACAAGATAAGCAGCTGGAAGCAGGTTGATGGAACAGTAAAGAGTTTCCTATAAAGCAGGTAACACTGTGACAAACAGAAAAGGCTATTTTCACTGTTGAGCTCTAAACCAGCTATCCTGTTTCTCTGCCCAGCCTAAGCACAGGACTGGCCCTTCAGGATCAGGCAGGAGCCAGCAGTCCCAAAAACAAGGAGCATCCCAAGTCCAGTGCACCTCAATGGGTTCAGAGACAACTCAAGGGGTCACAGCAGGACAGAGTTCGGAGCAGGGAACAAGCAAAGCCCCCAAATTCACCCAGGCATGGTGCCCACATCACCCTCATGGAGTGGGGAGCTCCTCACAGCTGCCTGGCTGGGTCTGCTCCCCCAGCCTGGCCACCAGAGAGGACATGGACCCAGAAAATAACAAAAAACCAGTTTTAAACCAATGAGATTTTTTTTAAAGTCCATTTTCATTTTCTTCTTCTAATTCCCAAGACTTTGGACATGCCTCCAACTCACAAGCCCTTCCCCACACTTGAAAAAGCCAGAAACAGGTTTTTTTCCCCATTTCCCACATAAGCAGGGAGAAGCCAAGTCTAAAACACTGCAGGAATCAAACGAGGAGGATGCACATAGCCCAGCCCTGGGTACAGGACACAGAGGTGGGGTAGGGGCAGAGGGCCCCAGGGGATCAGGGGACGCTGGCACTCACCGTGAGGCAGGTCAGGCATCAGGTGAGGCATCAGGTAACTGCGGATGAGCTCCCAGTCGAAGTCATCGTCCTCGCCCTGGCTGTACTCGCACTGGTTGGGGTCACTGTCCTCCTCGAAGGTGCAGCCAGCTGTGGGGACAGACCTGTCAGCCCCTGAGCTCCCAGACTGGCTGCTCCCTCCCCAAAAGCCCACCAGCATGGTGTGATGCCCCTGGAACGCTGAGGGACTCCAGGCATTCCCCAAGGGCACCGTGAGCAGGGGTCTGGCCCTGGCTGCTACCAGGGCCCCACAGCTCCTGTGCAGCTTCACCAATGACACAAGCTGGCAGGTCTCAGGATGCAGCTCCCAGCTTTGCTTCTTGGGGGTCAGGAGCACAAGGGGTTTTCCCCAAGAAACAGCATTTGGCTGTGGTGGCTTTGATCCCAACCCTCCACCTGTGGCTTGAGCTCCTGGGGTTCTCTCCACAGCCTGATGTGAGTGTGGCATTTCTGAGCCAGGACCCCCAGCCCTGAACGCAGCCCTGCGCCCCCCGCTTGGCACTGCCGAGTCCTTCTGGCAGTCACATTTTATTACAGATTTATCCCTTGGAGGTCTGAGGGTGTTTACACCGTACCTCCCTGGTCCACAGCGTGCTCAGCTCAGCACAGAGGAGTACAGCAAATGCCACAAGGCCACTTGTTCCCACGGGAGGGGACACAGAGAGAGCCCCCCCAGCCCGCATCCAGCCCCCTCCTCTCATCCCACATTCCAGACCGTCCCCATTTGCCAGCTCCCCCATCATCCCACATCCATCCAGCCCTGGAGCCCAGGTCAGCTTTGCTGTGGGGCCACCGGGGGCTGTTGGTTCACAGTGCCCCATTGTCCCATTAAACCCGCGATTACAGGGACCAGGGCACAGCGCTAATTAACGGGGCCTGGGCTCACGAGGGGCCCCAGGAAGCCCTGAGCAAGCGGAATGAACAACGGCAAACATCCCCTAATGCACCGGCAGGAAAACAGAGCTGGGCCAAGGGATTATTTCTGCTGTTTTCTTCCTATTTTATCCCAAATTACATCAGTAATTCCCCGTGCCACCTGGGGATTTGGCAGTTAATGGCCTCGCTGCTGGCACGGGTTGTGCCTCCCTGTGCTCAGGGATGCTTGGATGCAACATTTAGTCAAACAAGAGTCCAAACACTGGGAAAAAAGCCCATAAGATGCTCAGGAAATTTCAATTCCCAACTCTTTCATATATAAGACATTTGTGGCTTTTTTCGCCCCTTTGCACTCATTTTTTAAAGCACAAGGGCACATTCCAGCTCCGTCACCAACTGTTTTTTCCTCTCACAGCCATAAGAAATTTCTTTTTAAAAAACGGTAAGCAAATTCTCTCCTATTCATATGTCTGGAGGCACTGAGACATCACAGCTTTCTTAAAGCCCTTCCCGAAATGGAGCGTCTGCCCAGCCCACGTGCGGATGTGCCCCCGCACTGCAGCCCCTGGTCCTCAGCTCTCACCACGAGACGTGTCAGATTTTAGAGTCTGGAACTTGGCTGCACTTCCTAACGGGAGGAAAAGCACAAATCTGTCAAAATTTTCCAGGAAGGAAGGGAAATAAAATAAATTTCAAAATAAAACAGTGTCAGAGACTAAGTGCCAAGTGATTTAAAAGAAAAAAAGGCCCAAGTGTTTCTTTCCAAGATCTGTTGAGCAGGATATTCTGGGAGGCAGAAATTTGTTCTTGGGGGATATTTTTTTTGGCCTGAGAAACCAGAGCAGAGTCAAACAATGTTTCAGGCTGGTAAAGCCCCATTTCCCAGGGAAAAGTCATTTCTTCCCCCCCAATAAATTATTCCCAGACACTGAAAACATAATGAGATATGTACCCTCCTCCTCCTCCTGGACTGCAGCCCCACACCCAAATCCTGCTGCCATCCCCAGCTCAGCCACTGCCACCAACCCACGACTCCATCACCCCACACCTGCATCCTCAGCCACTCACGAGACAACGTCTGGGCTCCAGAAGTTTAAAATGCAATTACAGAGCAGATATGTGCTGGCCCAGCTGATCCATCTCCCTCCTGGACAGCTTTACTGCCAAGGCTTTTCCCGGCACGAGCCTTCCCTCCCATCCACGGCACAAAACAAAGGCAGCTTGACTGGCCACTCCATTTCCCTGACTAATTTGTCCGTGATTTGCACACACAGGGAAAAAAGCCAAAGGGGCTTCACAGAACTTGGTTTCCATGAGTTATGGGATGCTTCTGGCACCATCTCTCCCCAGCCAAGGACAGGGCCGAGAGAAGCTCAACCTCCAGCAGATTCGCCCTCCTCATCACAAGATTAAGGGCATAAAAATTAACACCTGAGCAATTAAATGCCAACAACCCAACTCCACAGGGGGTGCTGGAGGTGCTCCAGCAGCTGTGGAAAGTCAGAGAGGGCCTCTCATGGGGTGCTGTGTGAGCACATGAGAGCGACTTGCAAAAAATTAATGTTTCATCACAATGTTTGCAAGGAGGGCAGGGAGGCTGCAACCCAAAATATCCACCTGCAGCAGTGGGAGGGTTATTCCATCCCAAAGGCAGCAGGACAAGGACTGTGGGAGCCGGGTGAGACTGCTCCAGGTATGGACACAACCTAAAAATGAACCAAGGAGCCTCGGGTCCCCTGAGCTGGCTCCAGGCCAGGGTGACAGCAGCTCCAAGCGCGGAGGTGAAGGCAGCGAGCGCAGGAGGTGTGATCCCAATGCAACAGCAGCTAAAAATACTGCAGGGAGCTGGGGGTCTGCCCCCGGGGGTGGGACGTGTCCGAGACACAGCCTGAACACCCCAAAGCTGCCTAAATCACCCCCAACACAGATCCTGTCTCATGCACAAGAGGCAGCCCGTGCCAAGGACAAGACATGCTCCATTAAACACTCCACACAAAACCTCCAGAACATCACAGCATTCCTGGGCAGAGGGGAGAGAAGGATGAGCACCAGCACGGGGGTTTAACACCAGATGGACAAGTGTTTTTTTTTTTAAAAAGAAAAAAAAAGAGGTGGTTTGAGAGATTTGCTAGGGAGATGGAGATCAGTGCTGCCCAGCCTCCTCCAAGTACGGCTGTCACCTCCATGGATCCACCATGTGCCCAGGTGGAAGGGAGCAGAGGGACAGGCACCAATGTAGAGGTTAAACACCAGATGAAGCAAAATTGTTTGAAAGAAAGCAAAAAAAGGTGGCTGGAGGGGTTTGTCAGGGAGCCTGGTAGCAGGATCAGCATCCCCCCAGGTACCACTGCAGCACCAGGGCATGCTGAGAGAGCAGAGGCACAGGCACCATGTGAGGGTTAAACACCAGATGAAATAAAATTTCTTAAAAAAAAAAATAAAAGGACGCAGCTTAATGGATTCACCAGGGAGGACACCACTGCCACTCAGCATCCCTTGGGAACCACTGCCACCCAGCATCTCCCGCTACAGGGATGAAGAGGAGGAAATCTGGGGAGGGGAGGGACTAGTGATTCACAAAGAAAAGGAAGAAAAAGAAAGACCAAACAACCAAGTACAAAGGACAGCAACTAATTAATTCTCCGCGGCCACCGAGGAACGTGGCTGCCTGCCTACAGCCCACCCCACGCTCTTTCATCCACAGAGCCTACACTGCTCTCGCTTCCAAGTTAATTACACACTTAAACCTTTCCTGTTTAACCTCCTGCACCATGGGACACGATCCGTGTCTTCTCTTGCCTTTTATCAAGCAGTCTTGAGAAGGCTCCTGTGCCAAAGGGCAGCTCAGCACCATCTAGGACTGGGATCACAGCTCGGCCCCATCTGGGATGGCAGGATTGTGCTCTCCCCCACCCAAGACCCTCTGTGGTATCATCTGATAGGAACAAAACACCAATAATGTCCCAAAATGGGGACAGGTTTTATGAAAAATGGCTTATACCAAAACTTTAGCAAGTGCTGCTTCCCCAGAACTACAAAATACAGTGCAGCTACCCAGGACACCCAGCCCTGATGGGAAAAGGTCCATTTTGCTCCTACCATGGCTTAACCAGGACTGGATCAACCCCGTGGTCATTTCTGGGGTACAGCATCTTGGGAGCACAAGCCACAGCACCCCATGTCACAGGCACCAGCCAGGGGAGATAACACTGGTCATATTTCAGAGTCAAAATAAATTTTTTATCCCTGGCCTTATCTAGCTTCAGTCCTCCAACCCAAGTAATTCGCAGCAGGAAATGGGGAGGATTCAGGTACCCACAGGGCACATGACATGCTGCCCTGGCAGCCAAGTGCAAACACCCTGCAGAGTGAAACCATCATCTGACCACAGCCAGATGTGGCAGGGGGTGAACAGAGCTTTTCTGCCATCAAATCCAAAGTTTTCATTGCCTCCCAGGAGAAGGGATGAAGGTGGAGGCTTGCACACCCCCAAATTAACACACCCAAGACCTCTCCTCTTAAACGCACATAAGGAAGATGCTCTTTGTCTGCACCAAAGGATGAAGCTCTTTACACTGGATAAATGGCCAATGATCTGCTGCAAATGGGGAAACAGAGGCACAGAGGGGATGTGGTGAAGCCCCAGAACACCAGCAGCCCGGGATCACCCCAGGGATGGCAGAAAGCCCAGGGAGCTGGGTGTGCTGGGATACAGAACCACAGCTCCAGCAGATCCCACCAAGGTGCCATTCCTTCCCAGCACCCCCGGAGCAGAGCCAGCCTTCCACCTCCCAGATCCCAGCTGCTATTTAAAGGTGCTTTCCTTGGCACACTCCTACGGGAACGTGCCCCGGGAAGGAAACGCTGGGAGTTGCTTCCCTCCAGGTGCCAGCAGACACGGGGGACAGGGAGCACATTCTGCAACTCATCCAAAATTAGATGCACTTCTCAGCCAGTGAGATCCTGTACACAGCACCCCACAGGCTCCCGGGCGAGGGTAAGGGATTCAGGAACATTTCCCTCTGCAGGGGGCTCAAATTCCTGGAGGTGGGATGTTACAGAGGCTGTTTGGCACAGAGGAATCCAGCTCAGTGGGAAAATCCACACAGGGAGAGGTCCTGTGTGCCAGCACCCCAACATCTCACACTGACTGGGACCCCTGCCACAGTGGGTACACCAACAGCTCCATGGCCAAGCCCAAACACCCCAGAAGT